TGCGACCTATACCCTACCTATACCCTACCCTAGGTACATGGTACCCATCCGCCAGTCTAGATGTGCGTGCTCTATAGGAGAGGGGCCGCAGTCTCCTGATCTGGGTGGTGGCTGAGATTGTCATCTGCTGTGTACTAATTAAGGACTTCCTGTCTAAGTGCCTTAGCCTTCTCTAGGGGGTTAGATATTGTCCTGTTGTCTATAATAAGAGGAGTGTCCTAGTTCTCTAGTGTAAGCTTATGCTAGGCAATAACCTTAAACAGGTCCTTATTATCCTTAGCGTTATTAATAACATGCCTCTAGTACTACCTTTTAGCCTGTTAAACTGTAGTCTTAAAGGCTTGTGTTTCTTTAAGTAGAGGTCTGCCTAGGCAGGTTTGCTAAGCGCGCTTATAGGCTTAATTAGCAGTCTTGCACTCCTTAGTCCACCACGGCGCAGCGCGTCCTTCCTTGCAGTCAAGCTTGCCTGCTGTTTGTATAGAGTGCTGCACAGTCTCTGTCAGCAGCGCGACACAGTTGTCTAGTTCTGCCGCATCCTGTGCTGCACGCGGATCTGGAATGCTCTAAGCGCCTATTTCTACTAGCCTAGTGAACTTTAGTAGGCTTGCCTCTAGGACTCTATAGTAATACTAGTCTAGGTGCAGAGTACTAGGTGTAGAAGTAGTGACAGAGGTTACAATTGTCTTGTGGTCTAACCTGCTGTGCATGCTAGCATCTACAGCAGACTGAGCGAACACGACATTAGAGAAGGTAAGATCAATGACATGTCCAGCACAGTGTGTTAGCTGTCCTGGCACGCCAACATAGTCCATAGAGGCGGCGGCGGCCCACCTGGCGAGCTCTATGCCGCTGCTAGCTGCGGAAACATTGGGTTCAAAGGATTTGTGTCTGACGTTAAAGTCCCCTCCTATAACGCAGTGTTAGGGGGGTGTGAGATGCGTGACATATTAGAGTATGTCTGGGGTAAGTAGCTGTCTGTAGCAGTTTAGTATTAAGACTCTATTTACAACAGCCTACAGCAAGTCTAGGTGATTAAGGCTTTCTCTAGCATGCAGTTTAAGGTAATACCCTTTGCGTATATAAGTTATTACCCTAGGGTGGACTAAGCCTAGTGTGTTAGGAGCGTCCTAGGTGCTAATAGGTGTAAGGTGTCTAAAGATAGGGTAGGTATGTAAAGTTATAAGACTTTGTTTTTATAATCTTTCTCTAGCGTATTTCCTTCTTAGATTTATAGCGCTATGCTTACCCAAGCATTGTTATTGTAATCTCTAAGAAGAGAGGATTAGAATGGTGTGCTTACAAAGCCTGTATCTCCTATTATTCTTAAGATATGCTGTTCTCTATTTATAGTAACTAGAAATGTTCTAGACCCTCTGCTTACAAATAGAGTAGCCTACTCTGTAAGATGCTAACGTATACAATTACGTATGCAGCTACGTAATCTTGCTTGTATATGCAGCAATACTAAGCATAGATTATAAAGTAGACCTACCTAGAGGAGTCTAGAACGTTCTGCTTAGAAATACAGACAGAGGAGAGGAAGTATAAATACCTCTAGCTCTCCCCCCTCTGTTTGCTCTATACCTAGCCTAGGAATCTCTACCTAGTATCTAATATAAAAACTTGTCTATTATATTACGTAACCCTACCTTACCTCTATTAGGCTATATGCTTCCTATTTAGACAAAGCTAGTCTAGATTTATCTAGGTCCTTCTAGACTAGGAAGAAAGTAGTCTAGTCCTACCCCTACTTTCTTTACATCTTTAACTATTAGAGTACCTTCTCTCTTAACCTGCTTTCTTTTGTGTGATTTTTATTGTGTAGCTATTTTATTAGCAGCTTAAACCTTAGTAATCTCCTATTGCGCTAACACTAGCTTATGTGTAATTATAGCTGCCCCCTTTAAGACCTTCTTAAACGCTTTAACTATAGAGGTAGGTAAGTTATCTATATGCCTCTAAATTCTTGTCTTTATAACATCGGGAAAAGTTTTTCTATTGTTGAAATTGGGAAATTGTGGCATTATACTGTGGGCAATAGTAGGACTTGTAGGCCTGTAACAGTTATTTAATGTGTATTCAATGTCTAGCTAATTTTAAGCTAATAGCTCTAATAGTCTTAATAGCTGTAATAGCTATAATAACTCCTAATCCTGCTATAATAGTAGCTCTACTTAATAAACTATACCTTTATTATATTAATATACTACTAAGTCTCCTCTTTAAAATAAGCTATTAAATAATATTATAGGCATAGTAATAGAATAGTTATTAAGCGTAGAAGGTTTTAAGCTTAATATTCCTTACTAAGACACTAAGTTAAGATTCTTTACTAGGGCTCTAGTAGCCTAAATATTAGAAAATATAAGAATATTATTCAAGAATAGTAGGTAAACCAAGAATTTTACGCCTGGGCCTGCCTATTCTGCAAGCTCCTGTTGCGCTGCTGCTGTGTGTGTGTGTGTGTGTGTGTGTTGGTCAGCAGGTGCTATGCTGTATGCTGTTGCAGCTGCTACGTTGTGTGCGGGCGCAGCTGCAGCGGCTATAATAACACAAACCTTCAACAAACAAACCTTCAACGCTCTATAACTTGCGTTGTAGTAGGCCTATAATAATAATTTTTGCTTATTTTAAAGCTACAATTTCGCTCTATCTGTACGTGAAATTTCGCAATTTTTAAATATTTAATGCTAGTGCTAGCACTAAGGGTAGCTATGCAATAATATTACAATGTTATTTTAAGTTTATTAAATATAGGTACTTAGTATTTTAGCTATTAGCAATGTTGGCGCGAAATTAGGGCTGTTAGGCGCAAATTAGGGCTGTTGGGGCCGTTGAATGGCTGTTGCACGACTATGCCACGACTGTCAGCAACAGCCGGTCTAGGCCAGATCTTGAAAAACTTTTCCTGATGAAGTGTTAATTATAAACTAAGTTTAATAGTGTTACTTAGGGTTTGTAACTGCTAGAGCTAATTACTAAAAGGTAGTAGTAGTAATAGCATGCGCAGCTTTATATTAAGGCTGCTTATTACCTACTCTAGGTTAAATAGGACTAGTCTAGCGCCTTAAAACCCTCCCTAGATATTCCTAGAAGTAATTGCAGCATTATAGGCGCGTATAAAGTATAGTAGGAACTCTATCTTTGTAATGTAGTTAATCTAGCTGCGTATAAGTATTTTAGCTTAGCACCTATACACCTTCTTTAAAGTAGTAAAATAAGCTACATTAAGGTAGGCTGGCGGAATGGGTATACTCCAACGTCCTTCGTGGGTACCCCCCAAAACTTTGTTAATAATACATGGATTCTAGCGAAATAGGGCTTAAAAGAAAGAGAAAAACTACCTCTATTTTTCTATAGTAGAGGGGTTTGTTATAACCATTAAACTGCACAAGCTAGAGGCTAGAAAAGGTTAAAAAAGGGGGGGTACCTAGCAAGCATACCTATTAATAGGTATACTTTGCTAGGTAGTGTTAATAACTTAGCTAATACTAGGTAGAATAAGCTAATTCTTTTTTTATTAGAAGGCGCAATACTAGGCGCTTCTATTAAATAATAGATTATTTAAGCGTATCTCTGCTAGTTAAGAAGCTATAAGCCAAAACGTAAAAAAGCATACCCTACCCATCCGCCAGCCTACATTAAGGGGCTGTGTAAGGTGTAATAAGTAGGGAGGTAAAAAGAGAGTAATTATCTTATTATCCTTGCAGTACTGTTAGAATTTAAGAGACTTATAGCTCTTATAACTATTAATAATAAGTAAATAGTAGGTGCTAAAAGTACGCTCCTTTGTATGCCTATTAAAGTAGTTTATCTAGTCTACACTAAGCTTATTAGTAGTCTAGCTATTATTAGAGACTCTAATAATATAGTCTTAAGGCAGATCCTCTTCTTTATACTAGGTAGAGAGGTGGTGGTAGGCCTGAAAGATAAGGAAGGCAGGAATAGCCTATCCTTTAGTATTAATGCCTACTATAGCTATAGCCTACTCCTAGTTACCTAGCTAGACTGCCTTCAGCTAACCTTATTATTCTAAAGCTATAATAACTGCTCCTTAGGAGATCTAGCCTATTATAAAGCCTGCCTTGTTAAAGTTATACATGTTATTATCCTAGATGCTATACTTAGCTTTAGTGCTAGCTACTAGGCTAAACTAGCCCTATAGAACCTTAGGATCCTTACAGAGGGCTATCTTGTAGTTGTACTTGTGATTAAACTTGACTATAAGCTCTAGGTGCTGCTTAACAACCATACTAGGCTAGTTCGTGCTAATAGGGCCTAGGTTGTGCTTAGCGCGCAAAGAATTAGCTATAGTAGCTACATCTAAGAGCTAAGGGGAAAATCCTTGCGCATCTAGCTTAAGAACTTATTTAATAATTACCTTCTCCTTATTCTTGTCTAGCTTCTGCAAGTTAGCTATAGAATTAGCGCGTGAAGGATGTCCTGCGTGTTGCTTGCTTAGTGTAGCTTAAGGAACTCTTTAGATAGCTGCAGCACGTCGCTGAGAGAGTGTTGCGTCTTGTTTAAGAGCCTAGAGCGCAAGCTGTATCTAAGCTTCTTTTAACGCATCTAAATAGTGTTATTGTAAAGATATTAGTGTAGGAAGAGTGGTTTGGTGGGGGCTTGGCAAAAGCGATTCTCTCGTCCGTTGATTCTTTCGCCCGTGGGGTACGTTATATGCTGAGCAATTAACTCCTCGTCTGTCTTGTCTAACTTCCTTGAATTTAGTACATAGTCAGTTTGTACAGTCTATCCCGCGTATTGATTATGTAGTGTGGTACAAGGCGCGTTATATATAGCTGCAGCGCGTCGCAGTGTAAGCGTCGCGTCTTGTTTGATTGCCCGGAGGTCAAGCTGTATTGCAGCTTCCTTAAAGGGCCTATTTTGTGTTGTTGTGAAGGCATTACGTTGTAAGGTAGAATATTGGTGTGGTCTTGACAGAGTGATCGACTCGCCCGTGAGGTATGTTATAAACAAGCATAACGCGAAATGAGTCGTACACGCTGATTACATTAAAGACTAGATTTAAACCAGGAGCATCGTCATCATCTTTGTTGAGCGAATTTTTTCGAACCTCATAACCATTGCCATGGACATAAAGTCATGCCCGGAAGGAAGCTGACTTCAAACAAGGGAGTGTGGTGCCGACCACTTTCCAGCTGGAGCAGCAGAAACACTCAACCGTTGTTGAACGCTTAATGACAATTCTTCTTCATGGTCTTGCAGAGCCAGGACTGTGCTGAAAGTTAGCAACTATTGCAGAAGCATGGGAGGCGTACTCACGTTCTTTTTCTGCTCCTTCTCCCACTTGTCCTTGTCCTCCTTCTCCTTGCGATCTTTGTCTTCCTTCTCCTTGCGATCTTTGTCTTCCTTCTCCTTGCGATCCTTCTCTTCCTTCTCCTTGCGATCCTTGTCCTCCTTCTCCTTGCGATCCTTGTCCTTCTTCTCCTTGCGATCCTTCTCCTTGCGATCCTTGTCCTCCTTCTCCTTGCGATCCTTGTCCTCCTTCTCCTTGCGATCCTTGTCCTCCTTCTCCTTGCGATCCTTGTTGGCCTACAATACGAGTCAGTGGCTGAAACCTACATGGGCTGACATGCCAAGCAAAGTGCTTTTGGGAGATGAATGAACCGCTGGATTGACTACCTTTTCGTACTTGTCAACCTTATCAGGCTTGCAGTGCTTCAGATCCGGCTTGTACCAAATGCACTTGGCCTTGTAAGCCCACTCATCCTTGTTGTACTCCTGACATCCGTAGTAGTTGTCAGGGTAGTGCTTGTATGGCTTTTGGTGAGCACAGCTCTTGTCCACTTTCGTGGGAGCTGGGGCGGCGAAAGCGACGGCGCTCAAGGCCGGGAGGACAATGAGGGAAAGCTTCATGGTTTGTAATGATTGAGTGTGTTTCTAAAACGGGGGAAGCAGTAATGTAATGGTTGAAGTTGGGAGATGAGATGCCTTTTTGAGTGTCGAACTTCGCAGTTGCTTATATAGATGTTGAAGATTTTGTTGAGCCCTAGGACACTGCATTCCTATGTCCGATTGACATCACGACCAAGGCCCACTAAGCACCGCCAGTAGATCGCTTCAACGATCTCGAGTTCGTTCCCTAAGAGCCGCCCGCGCACGAACTATTGAATATGCAACCCAAGGCGCGAAGTGAGAAGTTGCAGCCAGTGCCCGAGCTATCGCAGTCCAGGTGGCTTGGAAAGTCCTGCTGATGAAGAGGGTTTGGAGCGTCCGGCCTCAGCTCTTGTCGTATCCAAGCCCCGTAACAGCCCGCGGATGCGATGATGATCATAGGACGTGGCTATCTGCCAAGTGGATTTGAAGCTGACTTGCGGATGCTCGCTTGCTGAATCGGTCACTGACAGTCCACGGTGGAGCTATAGCAATGTCTGGATCTTCTATGACAAACCGCAGCTCTGTAACAATGCCTCGTATCGCTTGTCTGTGCAAACGGTATCGCAACTCCGCTGTTGTCAGCCCTGTGAGGGCGAACTGATTCAAAAGCGGCTAGGGATAACCACAGACGAGCTTTCTCGGAGCGCGAGGCTGCACAGCCCGATTTCGCGGGGTGAGGGGCGGAGCTGTATCCGGGTACCAGAACAGCACGTCAAGACTAGGCACCCTCATGCGGACCTGAAGCCGGGCGTCCGCTCTTGAAGTTAGTGGCCATACCTATGTCCAGTACCGTCCAACTTTATGCAGCTTGTATAGTGTACGATCCCATTTGTGTTGGAGAGTTTGCGGTTGAACTAGATACATACGAGGTGAATCTTGACCATTGTTTTCCGGGAGTCAGTCGATTTCCGTGCCACGCAATGGACCATCCGGACTTGCAACTGCCCTGCGCAGGGTGGTAGACTGAAGCTCAATATTGGCATGCATGCAAACCGGCAACATGCCCAATTGTCCCCATGAGAGCTTGGCATGTGGGTATTGTCGATTTCGCCCACCATGTCATTGTCAGTATCGCCCAGCCGGTAGGGCTCGCTTCCTTCGAGCTAGCGCAGCTCTCCGCTGTGGATCGTCAAGCTCCACCACTTGGCTGCCAAGGGAAATCGGAAGGGCTTCGACTTTCCCCCAGACATGACTAGGAGATTAGCCAACACATGTTAGTGCTGCAAGAAATGAAGCTAAATTCCGATGCACTAGGAGTATCTCGGGTGTTTCACCCGCCGGCATGGCAGTGGGGATTCGGGAAAGACCACAAGATGCGCTAAGACGTCAGAATTGGGCGAGGCGCTTACATGATGGGTCCCGTAGATATTGCTGCTTTTGGGAGACGGCATGCATACGTAGTAAACGAAGGTACTTCTTCAGGCAGAGGCCGATCGTCCCCATACGTACGGATGGTGTCACTTCCTGTCCTGTGAGATTGCTCGTGTCTGTAACAAGGCCAACAAACTCTATGCAGCCAAGGGGTTCCTGCACTCCAGGGCGCCGACCTGTAGGTACGACAAATTCCACAGTGGTTGACCTTTAAGACTTGGCAATCGCGATTTGATCGCAGGGTAAAGTAGCTTTCTGTCTGTATTGGACGCTTTCCGCACCAATAAATAGGTATGGCGCGAAAGGGTAGGTCTCGGGCATGTCAATGACGACTCTCCATGAAATTGGTAAGTCCTGAAACATACCAGCGCTGGTTATCATGGTTGATGGTCCGTCGAGTCTAGCAGATGGCTACACAGTTGCAGTAAGTTGGATAGAGAAGCACCTTCGCTCAAGGCTACTCGTAGCTCGTCGACCCACAAGGTTTTGACTCTATTGATTTCTTGCCTCTGGAGCTTACTGCACTGCCTTCCTGTATGCATGACGTATCGCGGCAGGCTGTTGGACCGATACAAACCTTGTAGCCACAGGTCTGGCATCAAAGACCGATGTCGCCGTCAGTGCTGCCTCAGCTCGCCTTGTGCAGTCGAGTTGGTCAGGCTGCGGGTGGTCTACCGCTTTGCTGTCATTGGGACCAACGCATCTTCAGCTTCGACACGTGTACGGTAGCGATCCTCGACCTAGGCATGTAGAGCTTTGAGTCGTGAGGCTCTGTCTTCAGCTCTTGTCGCGCAAACACGCTGTCACGCTTCGTTGGCCATGGTACGCGCTTCGATCGTCATCTTGGTCACTTGGCAATACAACAGCGGCGTCCGACGACACCTGATGGAGAGAGGTCAGTCTGCGCAGGCACTGTGGGCGATCAGTGAGACTAATTGGTGAGTCTTCGTCGCTGTCCAGGCGCTCATGGGGTGGCGTTGCTTCAAGGGGTTGAACACGGATACCGTGTCCGTGCACCGAACGCCCGGAGTCACCGAACGCTCGCTCCGAGCCTGCACAGCCATCACAAAATTAAGGCTGTAGAGCCACATAACGTATCTCACGGGCGAGTGGCCGGCCCGGGCGAGTGACCGGATTTGCCAAGACCACACCAAATTTCATACAACCTGCTATGTCTTAACACAATAACGTACCCCACGGGCGAGTCGGACACACGGGCGAGTCGGACACTTTTGCCAAGACCCTACCAAAACACCCTTACTACACCAATGCCTCTCCACAAACGCCAGTCAGACGCGTTAAAAGAAGCTCAGATACAGCTTGCGCTTCAAGCTCTTAAACAAGACACAACTCTCTCTCTACAGCGCGCTGCAGCTATCTATAGAGCTCCCCTACAGACACTGAGCAACTAACGCGCTAGACGACCTTCACAAGTTAATTCTATGCCCAAATCACGGAGCCTAACTAATACTAAGGAGCAGGTGATTGTTAATTATATACTTAAGCTAGACGCGCGAGGATTTTCCCCTCAGCTAGCAGCTGTGGCTGATATGGCCAATTCTTTGCGCGCTGAGAGCAGTCTAGGCTATGTTAGCCTAAACTAGCCTAGTACATTTGTTAAGCGCTAACTAGAGCTTAAAGTGAAGTTTAATCGCAAGTATAACTACAAGAGAGCCCTCTGTAAGGATCCTAAGATAATCTAGGGCTAGTTTAGCCTAGTAGCTAATATTAAAGCTAAGTATCGTATCTAGAATAACAACATGTACAACTTTAATAAGACAAGCTTTATAATAGGCTAGATATCTACTAGAGCACTTGTTACAGCTTTAGAGAGACAAGGACAGCTAAAGCAGGTCTAGCTAGGCAATTAGGAGTAGACAATAGTTATTAAGGGTATTAATACTAAAGGGTAGGCTATTCTACTCTTTATTATCTTCTAGGGCTACAACCACCTCTTAAACTAGTATAAAGAGGATAATCTGCCCTAGGCTGGCGGATGGGTAGGGTATGCTTTTTTACGTTTTGGCTTATAGCTTCTTAACTAGCAGAGATACGCTTACATAATCTAGTATTTAATAGAAGCGCCTAGTATTGCGCCTTCTAATAAAAAAAGAATTAGCTAATTCTGCCTAGTATTAGCTAAGTTATTAACACTACCTAGCAAAGTATACCTATTAATAGGTATGCTTGCTAGGTATCCCCCCTTTTTTAACATTTTCTAGCCTCTAGCTTGTGCAGTTTAATAGTTATAACAAAACCCTCTACTATAGAAATGTAGAGGTAGTTTTTCTCTTTCTTTTAAGCCCTATTTCGCTAGAATCCATGTATTATTGACAAATTTTTGGGGGGTACCCACGAAGGACGTTGGAGTATACCCATTCCGCCAGCCTAATCTGCCCTATAATTAGGTTATTAGGGTCTCTAAGAACAGCTAGACTACTAATAAACTTAGTCTTAACTAGTTAAAGCACTTTAACACGTATATAAAGGAGTGTACTATTAGTAGCTACTATCTACTAGTTATTAATAGTTATAAGAGCTATAACTTACTATATTTCTAGGAATACTATAAGGATAACAAGATTATTACTATATATATACCTCTGCACTTATTGCATCTCCTGTACCTACTTAATATAGGCTAAGTTGCCCCTCTAAAGAAGGCGTATAGGCGCTAAGCCAAAGACCCTATATATAACTAGATTTACTAACCTAAACTATCACCGAGTGTCCCACATCACCGAGTGTCCCAAAACTTGCCAAGCCCTCTACCTACTCTCTCTCTCTAACATGCCTCAACTACCAGACGCGTTATTACTTAAACATGAAGGGAGGCTTTAGCTTGCTATTAAAGCCTTGAAATCTAGACAATTCTGAAGCCACTAGGCTGCTGCAGAGGCATTTAATATTAATTGCCATACACTCTCTTGTTGCGTCTAAGGACTTACATTTCGCGCAGAAGCTGCCCCTAACTGCTAGAAGCTTACTGCGACTAAACAGCAGACAATTATCTAATACATACTCGACCTCGACTTGCGAGGATTTGCGCCCCAGCTGTGCGAGGTGGCAGATATGGCTGATAAACTGCTAGCTGTACGCGGTGGCAAGCCTATTAGCAAGTGCTGGGCTGATTGCTTTGTAACGCGCTTACCTAAGCTTAAAATAGCCTTTAATCAAGCAAAGGATAGGCAGAGAATACTCTAGGAGGATCTAGAGATAATTAGCGCGTGGTTTAAGCTAGTAGAGGAGACTAAAGCTAAGTATAGTGTCTATAATAACAATATACACAACTTTAATAAGACTAGCTTCTAGATAGGCGTAATTAGCTCTATAAAGGTCGTCACAGGTATAGAGAGACGTGCCTAACCTGCGCTTATTTAGCCAGGCAATTGCAAGTAGGTTACAGTTATCTAGAGCATCTGCGCTGCTAGGTACGCAACCCTGCCCTTTATTATCTACAAGGGACGCGTCCACATCTCTACCTAGTACAAGGAGGCTTTAATACTGCGTAATTAGAAGCTCTTAGTCTCTAAGAACAGCTAGACAAACAATATGCTTAGTCTAGAGTGGTTAAAGTACTTTAACGCGCATACAAAGACGCGCTAGGT